TAAATGTGGGGAATTTTCTAGGAAGACTTCCTGAGTTTTAGATTGAAAAGGCCTGTAACATGCTAAGCAGGATAAAAATGAGAAAGCAAACAAACAAACAAAAAACCAAAAAAACCCCCAAAACTCACACCTAAATACACTTTAATGAAAATGCCAGCATTTTGGGCCTCCCTGGTGGCACAAGGGAATAAGCACAGCACTGTGAAGCTATCCGCAGCCACTGCAGCATGAGTTCGATCCCCGGCTGGCCAGGGAGCTACCCACATGGTGCATCAGACCTCTCCTGTCTTGCCTGCTGCTCCCCTCATCAGTGTATTTCAGTCGGTCTGCCTGTTCTGTTCCCCACTCTGTCTCTGGTGAATCCTCTCACCCCCTGCACCTCTGGCCTGTACCCTGGTTCTTATATGTATAAATAAATAAATCTAAAAAAAAGAAAATTCCAGCATTTTAAAGATAACAAGGAACTCCTGATTCAGAGAAATGGCCAATAATGAACAAAAGAACAAGAACTGGCAGATAGTAGATGTTTACTAGCAACAATGAATGCACGAAGGGAACAGATGATGGACTCGAAGTGCTGAGGGAAGATGACTTTAAAACCGCAATTCAAGATACAATTACTGAAGAATGAGGGGAAAATACCACTGAACAGTAATATGTGAAGAAAGCATTAGGTACAGAGGTAAGGGGCTGCCTTAGCTAAGGGCTGTGATACAGGGCAAAGAAGCTGACACAGGGCAGGGAGGGAAACCTATGTGAACTTGAGAAGGCAGGGATATGGTGAATGAGTTGGATTTGATGTGGCAAGTTCAGTTCAAAAATGGCACTGAGTACCTTCTATGAAGGCAGGTAGAAGGCTAAGGAGCTGGGTTAAAGGAAGCTCATTGGGTAGGGAGGTGGGGAAAGGTCAGCCTGAGCTGTGGGGCTCAGAGGAAAACAATGGAAATGAGCGTGTTCATATCAGAACAGGACATATATACTTCACAAGAGCAAAATGAGGGAATCACTCAGGGAATTATCCTGTAGTACAAGCAAGATGTCTTTTGAGTTCTCTCTGTAGATTTGAAGTTGGGAAGACCAGAATGACAAAATCAAAAAACCAAAAACCACCCCCCTGTCATAACCTTGGGGTATTTCTGTTTCTCCTTGATTTCTCTGTGTGGATTTAAAGTTATAAATGTTAGTTTGAGCAGCTTCAGCTCAGGTTCTTTAAATACTCCTGTGGACAGCCCTCCTGTAGTGGGTTGAAAAGTGTCTGGAGGCCTGGGCAGAATCAAGGGTGGTGAGGTCCAGGATGCCACCCTGCAGCTCCCTGGGCAGCTGTCCTGGGAATGGAGGCAAAGAGAAAGAGGCAGGAAGTATGACACTGGAGGGAAAACAGAGGATGCTTTGGAGGCTGAGAGTAAGTAGAGACCCCAGGGAAATGTGCTGCACCTCTGTATTGACTCAACAACCATTCACTTACTCATAAGGGAATGGTCCAGTCCCGATTTTAGGATTTTGGGTAGGAATGAAGAAAACACTCCCTGACCTTCTAAGTGTTAAGCAGGAAGTTAGTAGGGAGACAAATTTTTATTTTTTCAACATTTATTGGAAACCTACCATGTGCTAGCTATGGGGATATTGCGTGAAAACAGTTATGGTCGCTGTCCTCCTGAACTTTCTAATTGTCGGGCAGATAAAAAAAGACCAGCTGTCCAACTGCCTGGTTTGGAGCATTTCTGCTTTTCCCTCAATTTCTGTGTGGATTCGGACTTGCGCTTCAAATTGAGACAAGACACATGTTCAAATCCTGGCTCTGCCACCTGTGAACTGTGACTTTGGACAGTACCTTTTTTTTTTTTAATGATTTATTTATTTATTTATACAAGCACTGGGTACAGTCAGAAGAGCAGGAGGGTGAGAGAATTCACCAGAGCCAGAGCAGGGAACAGAACAGGCAGACTGACGGAACACACTGCTGAGGGGGGCAGCAGGCGGCAGGAGAGGTCTGTGCGCCATGTGGGACCCTCACCTGCCGGCCAGGGATCAAACCAATGCTGCAGAGGCTGCTGGCAGCTTCGCAGCCCAGCGCTCAACCGCTGCGCCACCGGGGAGGCCCTGGACAGTACCTTTTTAAGAGCCAAGACTTCTTCACCTGGGAAATAGGAATTGAATAGTCCTACTTCCTAAGAGAAAATGACACTAAACTGTCTGGCACCTTATTGCTATCTCATAACTTAAAAGTTTTCCTAAAAATATGGGAAAAAGTTTTTCCTGTGGTAGCTGCCAGGTCGAGGCCCGCCTGCTGATATCTGTGTACTCCAAAAAGTGAGGTCATCTGGCAAAAATGTCACTTTGCCTGCTGTGTTCAAGGCTCCCATTTTATCAGATTCATCAACACCAACTTTCGCAAAAGTAACAGACAGCCCTGTGCTGTCAGTGAAAGAGCAGGTCATCAAACTAGTGCTGAGTCTTGGGGTACTGGTGGAGCTGTCTCCCCACTAACCTCCTGCTTAACACTTAGAAGGTCAGGGAGTGTTTTCTTCAGGGAGTGTTGAATTCCTAAAGTCTGAGCCAGTGGGACTCGCTGTTCTGGCCAGCGTGCTTTTGGAAATATGTGCTGTGGGGGCCACACGTTTGCACCAACCAAAACCTGGCACTGTTGGCACCACAGAGTAAACATAACACAGAAGTGATATGCCATCCGCTCTGCCCTGGCTGCCTGGGCCTTACCAGCATTGACCATTTGTAAAGGTTAGCACATTGAGGAAGTTCCTGAATTCTCTGGTGGTTAGAGATAAAGCTGAAGGTTACAAGGAGACCAAGGAGGCTGTTTTTGCTGCTTAAGAAACTTAAGGTCTAGAATGTTATCAAAAAGGCCTACACCACTCAGTGGACGAGCGCTGGCAACGGCAAAATGAGAAACTGTTGTTGCACCCAGTGCAGGGACCCTGTAGCACCTCTAGAGAGGAGAATGGGGTCACCAAGACCTTCAGAAACACCCCTGGAATTACTTTGCTTAATGTAAGCAAACCGAACATTCTGAAACTTGCTCCTGGTGGCCATGTGGGATGTTTCTGCATTTGGACTGAAAATATTTCCACAAGTTAGATGATCTGTATGGCACTTGGCAGAAAGCTGCCTCCCTCAACAGTAACTACCACCTGCCCATGCACAAGATGCTCAATACAGATCTTAGCAGAATTTTGCAAACTCTAGAGATCCAAAGAGCCCTCTGAGCACCACATAAGATTCACTACAGAGTACTGAAGCAGAATCTACTGACGAACCTGAGAACCGTGTTGAAGTTTAACTCATGTGCAAAGACCATGTGACAGAACATTATTCTTTGTCACACTAAGAATCACAAACACCAGAGAGATAAAGCAGCAGCAGCACGAGAAGTCAAATCAGAAGAGAAGGGGGTTCCAGGCAAGAAGCTTGTGGGGTAGAAGAAAGGAAAGAAGTCTGTTGGTGTGAAGAAACCAAAAAAGCCTTTGGTGGGACAAAAAGGTTGCAACCACCAGGGCCTACCCTGGTGGCGCAGGCAGTTGAGCGCCACCCTGTGAGGTTGTCCGCAGCCTCTGCAGCGCTGGTTCAATGCCGGCCAGCTGGCAAGGGTCCCACATGGCACAGAAGAACTCTCCTGTCTCGCCCGGTGATCCCCTCAGCAGTGTGTTTCGTCAGTCTGCCTGGTCTGTTCCCCACTCTGTCTCTGGTGAATCCTCTCACCCTCCCGCACATCTGGTCTGTGCCCCGGTTCTTGCATAAATAAATAAATAAACAAACAAACAAACAAATAAATAAATAAATCTTAAAAAAAAAAAAAAGGTTGCAACTACCAAGAAACCAGCAGCTGAAAAGAAGCCCACAGGAAAGAAATCACCAGAGAAAAAGCCTGCTGCATGATATTAAATTTGTTTATAAAATAAAGGGCAAATCATTTTGGATAGTTAAATTTGAATAAAGACCTGATCAAAGAGGCAATGAGACAAAACAAAACATGGGAAACACCTTTAAGCTCTAACTCCACAAAGAAAGAAAAGAGAAATGGAAGCAAGAAAATATTTACATTGGCTTTTATCCAGGGAACAGAATAAACTAAGGTGTGGAAAGAAAAGGAGAAAAACAAGAAGCAAAGTAGGGAACAGTAAAACCAGATCTGCCTCCTTAGCGCAGTAGGCAGCGCGTCAGTCTCATAATCTGAAGGTCCTGAGTTCGAACCTCAGAGGGGGCAGTTTGTGTTTTGCCCTCTTTATCCAATTAAAAAAAAAAGAAAAGGGAAAAAAGGACACAAGCCAGTAATGAAAGACCAGAGTGTATGACTCACTTTGTAAAATTTGGAAAGTAAGCACATCTACAGACAGTAAGTACATCAGCAGTTGCCTTAGGCTGGGGCAGGGTTACTGAGAGGAACTGTGGGGAATGGGGGGGTAGGGACGGCTAATGTGTTCAGTTTCTTTTCTTTTTTTTTTTTTTAAAAGATTTATTTATTTATGCATACAAGAGCTGGTGTACAGGCCAGAGATGGGGAGTGTGAGAGGATCCAGCAGAGACAGAGTGGGGAACAGAACAGGCAGACTGACCAAAATACACTGCTGAGGGGAGCAGCGGGCAAGACAGGTGAGGTCCGCCTCTCCATGTGGGTTTCTCCTTGGCCGGCAGGGGATCAAACTCATGCTGCAGAGGCTGTGGATTGTCCCATAGTGCGGTGCAACCCCTTGCACCACTAGGGAAGCCCCAGTTTCTTTTTTGGGTAAGGAAAATATTTTAAGATTGATTGGATGATAGCTGCACAACTGTAAATAGACTACAAACCACTGGATTTTATACTTTAAATCAGTGACTTGTATCTCAACAAAGATACAAAATCAGTGAAGTGTATCTCAACAAAGCTGCTACTAATACTATACACAAAGAGTTGGGAGGTGAGAGAAAGAAGTGAGAGACAGAGGAGGCAATGCCTCAGATCAAGAATCACAAATAGGCAAAGAAGGGACACCGGGCCCCCCACTCACCTCAACCTTTAGGCCGGCCTGGAAGCTGATGCCATCAGGGATGGTGGTCTGGAACTCAGCAATGGTGTAATATTCCTCCTCCACTTGGGGTGGGATGGGTGGCTTGGGCAGGTTGAGACCTCGAGGCTGGTATGATTAAACATAGTGCTCACTCCCATGTGAGTTTGTTATTGCGGCGCTGAGGTGGGGGCCAGGGATGGGAGCGTGGCCCTAAGGGACTGGGGCACACATTCACCCTCAAGGGTGCCCTCATGGACCCATTGGGATTCTTAGGGGCAAAATGAAGAGGCTCTCTCAAACCATTATCTTCTAGAAGGGTCCCCGGTCCTTTAGTCTTAGTGATGAGAAGAAACACGGGACACCTGCCTGCACCTGGGGCAAGACAGTGTTAACTGAACTTAAAGAGGAATCGAGGGCTGCAGACAGACAGGAGTCACCTAAAGACATTTTGGTCAATGACAAACTGCATCTATGATGGTTCCAATGGGTCAGAACACACAGCGTAGGTGTGCTGTAGGCGAGACCATCCAGGGTTGTGTGATTACACTCTATGACATCTGCACAATGCTGAAACTGCTTAAAGACACCTTTCTCAAAACGTGTCCCTGTCATTAAGCATCACATGACTACTATGTGTGCGATGCTGGGTGAACCATTCCCCTGTGGAGGCTCAGTTTCCTCTCCTGTATGTACAATAGGGATAGCTACAGAATCCACCTGGTGGGGTACCTGTCAGCACTCATTAAGTTCCTGTAATGAACCACCCGGCACACCTTGGTGTGACATTCAGCAAATGCCCAATTACACAGCACGCATTAAAAAAAGGCTTGTTTTTCAAAAAACTCATTAGAAAGGTACCTAAAAGAATTGCAAATGGATCATGAAAGTAAAATATGAGAATGGCACTACAAATGATACTTGTGCCTCATTCCAGTTTTAGTTTCAAGTTACTTTATATGAGAAGACTGACCTAAGGCAAAGCTAAGTGGGCTCACACAGCAGTGCGCACCTCCAAAGGGCACACTGTCGCAAAGCCATGGGCAAACGGCTTCACTTCTGGGCCCTCAGTCTTTCTACCTGTGAATGGGTACAGCCTGCTTCACAAGGCTGCTGAGTGGATCAGAAAGGCAGCATCTTCTGAAAGAGTGAGATGAGTGTGAGGGGCCAATCTTAGGTTAGAGTTGCCTCCCCAGTAGCAAGGGGTCCACTTACTATTGTCATATCGCGGCGAGGCGGGGGTCTCTGTCTCATCTTGGGTGATCCTATAGAGAAACAAGACTATTTCACTCACATGCAGAATATGACAAATAAGATTCCTGAGACCACCAGGAAAGATCTAGTCTTTCCTGCAGCAAGTAGCCATAGCGTTCTACCAGGCATTAGTGTCTGGGACCTTCCCCTGAGAAGAGCAGCTGACAAGGCAGGAGCTGCTCAGACTTGGCTTGGGACTGTCAATATGCTAGTTCCTGGAGCAATGAAAAGCCGACTTCAGAGATAATGCAAAGGTGGGATATAACAAGTTCTGTGACTCCTTGGGCACAAAGTCCTCATCTGTAGAAGGGAGATAAGCATTGCTTCCCAGGGGCAGTGGTGGAGATGAACTAAACAATACTTAAGTGAACTCTTGGCCTGTGGCAGGCACACAATGTTATCATTCCTGACTTTGTGCTCTAGAGCAAACCCAAATTAAACAATATAAAGTTGTTCTTTGAACAACACAGATTTGAACTGTTTGTGTTTGAAAAGTCACACTTATAGGTGGATTTTTCATTAACAGTCAGTTGACCCTTGAACCCAGTGCAGTTGAAAATATTGCAAATGTATCTTCTCATGATTTTTCTTTCTTTTAAAATTCATACAAGAACCTGGGTACAATTCATACAAGAACCAGATACGCGGGACGGTGAGAGGATTCACCAGAGACAGAGTGGGGAATAGAACAGGCAGACTGATGAAATACACTGCTGAGGGGAGCACCGGGAGAGACAGGAGAGCTCTGCTTGCCATGTGGGACCCTCACCAGCTGGCATCGAACTGGCGCTGCAGAGGCTGCGGACAGCTTCACAGTGCTGTGCTCAACCACCTGCGCCACCAGGGGAGGCCCTCTTATGATTTTTCTTAACATTTTCTTTTATTTTAGTGTAACAATATCGTATACAATACATACAACATACAAAATATGCATTAATTGCCTATGCTATTGGTAATGCTTCCAGTCAATAACAGGCTATAGTAAAGTTTTTGGGGCATCAATTGTTATAATGTAGATTTGCAACTGCATGGGGGATTGGTACCTCTAAGTCCCTTGTTCAAGGGCCAACTCTATAAACAAACAGAACCAAACCAACGTGGGCTGATGATCTCAGGGGCTTTAGCTCCGGAACTGGGTCTCCACATCAGGAGGGTGACAGCAATAGCCCAAGTTTCCTGGCTAAAGGTAGATCATTGAGGAAGTTACCCTATGTGTTGCCAGAACTGATTCAGTATGTATCCACCGGGGTAGTTTGACAGTTGGGATGTGGAGAAGGTTGCTCATCTTTTAATTATCCTGTTTCCTCCATGTTCTATTAGAATAAATAGCAAAGAATTTATCCACTTGGCTGCCTACATAAAGATTACATTTCCGGGCCTCCCCGGTGGCGCAGCGGTTGAGCACTGGGTTGCGAAGCTGCCCGCAGCCTCTGTGGCGCCGGTTCGATCCCCGGCTGCTCCCCGGCCACTGGAGGAGGGTCCCACATGGCGCGCAGACCTCTCCTGCCGCCCGCTGCTCCCCTCAGCAGTGTACTTCGGCCCTTCTGCCTGCTCTGCTCCCCGCTCTGGCTCTGGTGAATTCTCTCACCCTCCCGCGCTTCTGACTGTACCCAGTGCATGTATAAACAAAACAAACAAACAAATAAATAAATAAATAAAGCATGCCTCTATTAAAAAAAAAAAAAAAAAAAGATTACATTTCCTAGAACCCCTTGCAGCTAGGTATGGCCATGTGAAAAAGTTCTGGCCAATGGGATATGAGAGATTGAAAAGAGTACTGCTTTTGAGTGGAGTCCTCCATTTCTCTCTGCCTCCTTTCACTGGCTTGAATACTGAAGAACAAAGCTGGACCATGTAGATGAGGACAAGACAGATGCAGAAAAACAAGACTCATGGTTGCAGCGAGCTGCCATACCAGCCCTGAATATACACCTACTTTGTATGAAAGAAATGGATGTTTAAATTATTTGAGTCACTTTGTATGTGTGGTGGGGAGTCTTTGCTTGAGAATCTGAACCTATATCCTAACAAAGACAGAGGGTCTCAAATTTTCATTTGCTTCTATAGTATTAATGCAAATCCTGTGCTTTTGGCCATGATAGATTAGAATCACTAGGGATTGGCCAGAATCCCTGCCATTGGACATCGGAGAATTGAAAGCTCATTGACTCTGTTACTCTAAATAGCTGGGAGAAGCCCAGCCAGGGGCCAGTGACTTTATCTGGGTGGTGATTTGGAAGTTCTTTCCCAACAAATAAATTCCTTCTGCCCTATGAGAGCAGGACAGGGTGACAAGCCTGAGGCTGGAGTCCTGCATATGCAATAGACAACCATGAACCCTATTCTCAGGTGCCTTGGTATCATTAATAATAAAAGTAAATGGGGAAGCTTTGAAAAGCAAGATGGCTAAAGAACTGTCATTGGTGTAAACCTGCCACAGGGGCAACTTTTTCTTCTTCTGGTTCAGAAATGAGGCCATGCAGAGAGTGTACAGGTGTGGGAGTCAGACAGCTTGGGTTCAGGTCCCCATCCCACCATTTATTATCTGGGTGCTCTTGGAAAAGTCACCCCATTTCTATTTCCTCATCTGTAAAACAAAAGCAGTTACTCCCTCCAAGTCTATCACAAGGAGTCAGTGAGAATAATTATAAGATTCTTGGAACACAGTAGGGACTTGGGGAAAAGAAGCTGTCATGATCATTATGAAATAGAGGGAAAAACATGGTCTGTGGGAGGAAAGCAATGTCTCTGGACTCAGGTTTTGCTGGTTAAACGATCTGGAATAAGTTACCAGGGTTTTCTGAGCCTTTGCTTTCTTATCTACAGGATGGTGGGCAGCAGGGCTGTTGTGAGGAAGATGAACAATAGGGAAGGAATTCTGAGTGCACAGCGCTCACACAAAAGCTGGCCCACAGTAGGCCCTCAGCCGCTGGGAGTTTGGGTGGGTGTCACTCACTCTGCTTGATGTCACCATCGGGCAGTGGGCGGCCTTCAAAACGGCTGTCCCGCTGGTTGTTCAGCAGCTCCTTCTCCCTGCCCACCGAGTTCTGCTGGCGGGAAACTCCATCCAGGTCAAGGACGCCTGAGTGGGTGGGTGAGCCAGGGCCCAGCTTGGGGGGTAAGGGCTCCCCACTGCTCTTCTTTAAGTAGGAGGCTGGGGCCCAGCCCTCTTTGCCCTGGTATCTGGGAGGAGGAAAGATGCTGGTCATGTGGGTCCACGAGGCCACCCAGTTCTTACGGTAAATCACACTTTGGATCCCAGATGGCAGGAACACAACTGGCCAGGGCAGGGGCTGGCACACTATTCACTGCCCTGATGAAGCCCAGATACTCAGCTTGGCATTCAAGGCCTTTCCAGATTGGTCTCCATAGGCTCATTTCTCACAACACCCCCGCATCCCACCCACCCCACTAGGCTCTGTCTCCAAATCTTTCCACCCACCAGGCCTTGCTCTAGGAGACCCTCTGTCCAGAAAGCCCCAACCGCCTCTCCATCCTGCTCCCTCTTTCCCGCCTCTGCTGAATACCACTTCCTCTCTTACATCTTTCCTGAGCCTTGCAGAGAACAAGTCCTCCCTCCACGGTGCACCATGTCTCCTGCACACCATACCCCCAGCACCTTTAACACACAATGGCTGTGGCTGTTCTTTTTTTTTTTTCAAAAAGATTTATTTTTATTTATTTATGCATACAAGGAATAGAGTATAGGAATGAAGTATAGGTGGGGGGTGTGAGAGGATTTACCAGAGACAGAGTGGGGAGCAGAACAGGTGGATCCACTGAAATACACTGCTAAGGGGAGCAGAGAGTGAGACAGGAGAGGTCTGCTGTGCCATATGTGGGTTAGGTCCTTGGCAGGGTATCAAACTAAGGCTGCAGCGGTGACGGCAGTGCTGACAGGCATGTGGCCAGCACCCACTGTGTATGGGTCCCCTTCTAAGTGCTGGAGAGCAATGATGGATTTCAACCACTCAGTCCTGGGAGGTGGCAGGTGTGGATTCAGACCATGGCAGCCGGCACCCATCTGTGTTCCTAACCTCTGTGCTTTGTGCCTCTTCCTGGACGCCCAGCTACTGGCACAAAGCCTGGTGTAGACAGGGAAGATTTTATTCATGCTGGTGAACATGTAGATTAAACACGCATTCAGGTATGTACAAAGCAGGTTGGAGGTGGTTCCAGGGCTTAACGAGAGCTAACTGGGTGACACTGAACAGAGTGACCAAGACCCTGACACACAGTTCACTAAAGAGCAAAGGGAATTCTGGGAGTGCAAAGGTCACTTAATTCTCAGCACGAGAGAACCTGGTTGAGTAGCAAGGACCCGAGGTGTGGGCACCTCATACCAGCTGAGCGCCCCCTCCTACAGCTTGCTCCAACTCCATGACCAGTGACAGCCTATTTGGAGCTGGCAATTGGCCACGTTGTGAGTATTTACATCATGACAGGCAGACATCCAACTCAAGGGTGTTTTTCCTTAGCTGATTCGTCTGCCAGCGCCCCACTGATTTGGCCTATAAAACAGGTGCCCCCACCACTGACTGACCTAGTTGACTGAATACAATACATGGAAGGACCACTTCTCTTGTCAAGAGTCACTTTAAGAACTAAAGAGCATATGTTTCAATTAAAAAAAAAAAAAAAAAGGTCTGTTAAACTGGAAATTTCTAAGGGGACAGAAATCTATAGTTTGGTGTCTATTGATTTTAAAATAACTTCTGAGGGAATAACTGTCTAAAATGGAAAATGCCAATCCACAATCCACACCCTCAACATGAGACAGTTCTTCCTTTGGGGGCACAGAGCCATAAGCAAAGAGGCAGCACATGTGGTGGAAGGTGAGTGGGGTTTAGTGGCCTGGTTTGAATGCTGGTTGTCACCTACTAGCTCCGGTCAAACCTTCAGGTGACTGTAACCCTGGCTGAAACCCTGCTGTAATCCCAGGAAGAACCCGGAGCCCAGTGAAGCCACTCCTGAATTCCAGCATCACTAAATTTTGGGATAATTTGTTATTGAAGCAAGATAACACACTCAATGCATATTAGGTATTGACATTACTCATGCTTCAAATCTGTTCTGAAGCCTCTTTATAAGGAAGCTTCCTTGACTCCTGGGATAAGGGCCCCCTCCTGTGCTCCAAAGTCCCTTGTGCATATCCTCTAAGACACAGCTCACTGCCCTACCCTGTAATTGTGGGTGTCTGTCTTCTGTGCCTGTTGGTGTGAACTACTTTGTCTTTCTCACTGCTGACTCCCCAAATCCCAGAACAGGTTCATGCTGAGGGTTTATTGATTGACTGACTGACGAAATGAGTGAATACATGAATGAATGAACAGCCACATGTTTAGCCCCACATGAGTGAGGCTAACCCTGCCTGACATAACACAGACACCAGGCTGCAGGTATCTCAGGTTCCTCTTTTGTTCAAATTTCCTGTGGTCTGTCTTCCTTAGTCACGTGACTAAGGAAGGGGAATCCCAGGACCTTCTAAAAACTAGGTAAGTACCAGGATAACTGGGAAGAGCCAGCTACCTTACCTGAAGTCTGATTTCATCTAAGAGAGGGAAGAGCTTGACAAAGTGTATGAAAGGCAGGTCTCCTCCTGCTTTTACTACTGGACTCTGAGGGATGAAGGCAAATTTCAGTCCACCTGGTACTCATGCATGGTTGGTCACAGAGTGGGGAAGGAGAGGGAAGCACTCCCACAGGGCTGCTCAACCTCTAGATGCTTGACACAAGAAGCATCTGGAGGTTAAGAGAAACTCAGCTCAAAAAGTCACTGCTATCTGTGGTTCTGTGCATGTGAAGAGGTTTTACTTGTGATGGATAATTAGAAAAGGATCTGGGTAGGGAGGGGAAGCTGGACAGCACAGAGGAGAAGTCCTTCTATGGCTTAGGTAGAAACCTCACTCCATCTGCAACCACTTTGAGTAGCTAGAGCCCACATGACCTGCAACCTACCCAGTGGCAGCCAGTACCTGATTTTCCACCAGCCTTCCAGGTTTTTCTGGATGACCTCCACCATGGCCCCTCTCTCCAGGTTGATTTCATCCTGGTCACGAGCCGTATAAGGGTAGATTACTGTGTACTTCTCCTCTGTGGGGATAAAAGGATGCTGGGATAAGTAGAGTACACTGACGGCCCCAGGAGGCTGACGGGCAAGGCTATAATCTTTGAGTTGCCCTTGCCCAATGGAGGGAAGGATTTCTCCAGAGATTTCTGGATACTCCCAGGCCCTCACAAAGTCCTGATGGCCCTGTGCAAGCAGCAACAAGGCACACGACAAAAGGCAGGACCGGCCCCTTGCTAGTCCCTCAGCGATACACATTTGTCCTCAGTCTCCTCAAATCTGTGTTTCAAGGTCTCCTTTCTTGACCTTGCCTTATGCAATACAGTGACCCATGGCTTCCTTATTCCCCTCATCTGGGTTTGTTTCCCTAAATCAAGAATTACATTCCAACATATATACACTTTAGTTATTTATGGGATTTCATGTCTGTTTGTGTCTGTCTCATTCTTTCCTCTATCGCCAGCACTGGGCATGGTGGTGGAAATATTTAGTAACTGTAAATTCAGTTTTTAGTAAATGAACAAGTTCTGAAAGCCTGGTGGAAGCCGCCTTGCTCATACCAGAGGGATAAAGCCCTCTGAGGCTCCTCTGTGGTTCTTGTTGGAGAAGGGGGATCAGGGATGAGGTAGTGATTTCATTATCTAGTTGGTAATGGATCTTCATTTTTTATTACTTATGTTGAAGTCCTTGGATCCAACCAGGCCTGATGCCTCACTCTTCATTAATGGGAGTTAAATTCACCAAATTTCATTATGTGATCTCTTACGCCCTCTCTGTGCTTCTTTGCTCCCTAACCCCAAAGCCATGGGACCATCCTTATAGCCACCCCTGCTGGGAGAGTTGCTCACTGTCGCACTCAGACAGGGCTGTCCAGAGAGCAAGAGAATAGCTCCCCCTGCAACAGTGTCAGCTCTGGTCACTGAGACAGGGGAAAGCGGATGAGAATCCCAGGACAGGGCTTTCCTGTTTGGGTTACAGTCCAGCCCCAGGGAGTGACCGAGCCAGCTGTGGGCTGGTGTGATGGTTCGTGTGGTGGGGCTGACTCTCTCTGTGGGAAAACACCATGGCCTTCTGTGGCCTGCCCAGCTGGAGCAGAGGAGGCAGAAAACACACAGGGCATTTATTTATTGATTGATTTAGCCCACTGACCTGCTGAGAGGACTGAGCCGACTCAGGTTGCACAAATACTGTGCACAGAAGAGTCGGTGGATCCCTAGCTCAGAGTGGGGTGTAGGTGTTGTGAGGGGTACAGGGTATTTGAACCTGGGGGATGCACAGAAGTTCTGTTTGGTCAGGTGAGGAGTGGGCTGGGGTCCAATACTTATGGAACCTGGATTCCTGGAGCCCACACCCTTTTGTTGATCACACAGGAAGATTTTCCGAGTACCTGGAGGCCCCCTCTGGGCTCTGTACGATGCCAGGTGTGCCCTAAGGAAGCTAAAGGTATGAGACCTTGCAGACTGTATGGCGGGAAACAGCTGACACTGCCTGATAAGGAGCTGTCTGCCCTTTGTCTGGTGGTACAACCAACCTCTGTTCATATGGTTTGGATAAAGTTGCTCTCACCACCACCTGGAGGGAGGAGGTGGGCTCGTGACCATGGCCTAGCCAAAGTGCCACTGTGGTTGGTTCAGGGATTGCATATATCCAAGCGGACCAGTTGGAGCTAATGCTGGGACTGCTACTGAAGGAGAAGCACATTCCTTCATGGATGCCCAAACTATTGTCACCACCAGGCAAGGTGCCAGCAAGGTAGGAAGCAGAGCAGCGAGGTGGCCACAGTGAGTCCCTGGTCCTAATGCTTTCCAGCCCCTGGATCCAGCCATGCTTGAAGCCGATGCACTTTCCAGGCACTTTAACATGGTTTTTCTTTCCCTTGCAACTCAAATATGCCTGATGAAAGGAACAGTCACTAGCTCAACATGACACAGGACTCCAGGCATCACTTTTTAACTGGGAAACTCTAGAGCCCCAGGCGAGAGACATCCCAGACTCCCTTCTCCCAAAACTACAAGCCAGCACACACGGGGACAGACATGACCACTGTTTCTCACATGCAACAGGCACAAGCAGTCCCACAGCAGGCAGGGCATGCAGATGCGGACACCAGTCCCCAAACACAGAACCAGGGAGAAAACTCTGAGATGGGCACCTTGACGCCAGCTGATGGCATACAAGTCGCCCAGAGTCCGGCGGCGGCTTGCGGGCCGGGGCAAAGACCAGTACCTCCATGAGACTGGACAGGCGGCATGTGGAGGCGAACAGCAGAAGACAGAGGTGAGAAGAACGTGCTTTCTGTATCTCCAGGCAAAGGGGCAGCAAGTATGTATTCTCATTTAGAAGTCATTATTTCTGTGTCTATGTCAAACCCCAGGTACCTTAGAAGGACCAACTTCCTGAGTATTAACCTTGAACTTGAGAGAAGAGGACTGTAGTAGACAAAATTCTATGCCTAGCACAATTATAAAGAGGCCCTTGTGGCTAAGGGGGAAGAAAAATGTACAAAGCCTCAGGAAAATGTGGCCCCATACACTGTGTGACCGGGGCAAGTGTCTACCTTTCTGAATTCAAAATGGGAAGAATAATCCGTCTCTCACAGAATGCCCATGTGGCCACCGTTATAGTCCAAGGGAGCCACAGTTTCCACAAAGCACATCACTATCCCTTACACTGGGTTGATTCTTAAGCAGCCAGCCGCTAGTGCAGGAGCTGGGGGTGGGGGTGCGGGGAGGGGATTCCCAAACATTTTATGCTGAGGGGAGCTGGCTCTAAAAAAACTAGATGCAAAGCCACATATACTTTTTTTTTTGCTAAGCTTTGAGCACAGAAATATCCCCCTTCTTTTCACCCACTTTTCTGATAGTCACTTTATGCTTTCTCAAAACAGTGAACTGAAAGCCCCAAATATTCAACCCTAGGTAAGGTATGGTTACATAGTAACTATCTCTGGTTATTGTTTTTATTGTTTACTTATTTATTATTTTGTCTTTGCTAAGTGCTTTGTTCTTAGCAATCTCATATAATTAAAAGAAAAAAGAAACTCCATGAAATAGATATCCTCTTTTCCATTTTTAAAGGCAGCGGCTGAGGTGTAGAAAGGTTAAGTTATTGACCCAAGATCAGCAGTAAATGGTACAGCAGAAATTTAGATTTGAGTCTGACTCCAATTTATTAATTGAGGTGCATTTATACTCTAGTTTTGGGAATGCTTCTAGGAGGAAAGAGTTGGCTGGGCCTTAGTATTTCTGGCATAGCAGGAGTATGTTGGGAAAGTTCCCTGGGAAATGGAAGTGTGTGGGTGATCCAGGGGTCAGCCCTGATCTTGATGCCTGGTCAGGGCCACTAAACTAACAGAGAAAGCAGAGATATTTCCAGATGGATACAGATGTCTCACACATGAGCTAGAAGCAGCCCCAGCATCCTGGGTATCAGATAATCAGGGCAGGGAGGAGCGAGGTGACAGCAATCAGGCTGGGTCCCTCCTGAGAGTCATGGAGGTCTCAGGACCCCAGCTCCAGCCAGGCTCTCCCAGTTGGTTCCCAAAGAAGGGTGGGGTTGCCATTAGCTCAACCCTGAGGCCAGGCTTCAGGTTCATGGGTTACAGAGCCTGAGGCATGATGTCACTGAATTTGGAGGCAGAGGCCAAAGGGAAGGGACTGGGTAGAAGACCCCAGGGGGAAATGACTGGCACAGGTCTCCCCAGTGAGCTGGAGGCCCAAGCCCCTTGCCTACCTTCTTCAGGCTGTAGGGAAAACTCATCTTGCACACCATCCTGCCCTTCTAGGCAGGTGGCAGGGACCCAGCCTTGCTCTTCGGCGGTGCTAACGAACCACCAACCTGGGAAAAGGGGAGTGAAGACATGTTAGTTGGATCACAATATAATGATATATTCAGTCACTACACCAGTCAAAGCTCAGGATAATGTTGAAAAATCACCATTTCATTGGTGGAACACAACTACCCAAGTTAGCTACCTGCTAAGACAGGCTAGCAAGAACCCTGCTCCCAAGTGGGGGGTGAGGGGTGGGGACCAGGGAGAGAAGGTCCTGCTAAATGATGAGTAAAGGATGTAGCTGCCTTTACTAAGATGTGTGATGCATGAATCATTTTATTTTTTTCATCATTTCCTTGATTTTTTTTTGAATCTCAAGTTTTAAAATCTATTTTTCCTACCACGATCTTAAATCTGTATCTATTTCTCCTTCCCGTCCCTCTTAACCTCAGCACTCTCACTGCATTTATTAATATCCACTCATTTTTGTATTTTACTTTGCCAAATTGTCTGTTATGTCAATGTCTAGTATCGTTTATCATTATGACTTGCTCTATTCTATTTCCCTTGAACTCCCTCCGTTTTGCTGTAAATGACTGCATTTCATCTTTCCTTATGGCTGAACAGTACTCACTAATAATTTTATACTCATGCACCCCTTAATGACAGGGATATGTTCTGAGAAATTGTCACTGGATTGTTTCATTGTGTGAATGTCGCAGGTTGTAATTACACATGTCCAGGTGGTCTTGCCTCCCACAGACCCAGGCTGTGTGGTCCAGTCTACCAGGACATATAAGTGTGCTGTTGAAAGCATTGTTAAACAAGGTATGGCTGTATTTGTATTATCTTATATAATCTTGTCCCGACTGCACAGATGAGGAAACTGGGTTCCCAGGGGCAGACTTGTCCAAGGTCAGCTTCGGCAGAGCTACGATTTGCACTCAGGCTGTCTGATACTGAAGCCACAGCCCTGATCACTTATCTGAGACCCACGATGCTATTGGATCTGTGCATCTCAGGTAAATCTGACTCAGGTTGAACAGCTTGAGAGGCCTCCCACCCAGATTCCGCACATTCCTCTTTGAGGAAAGCCTTGCATGGAGCTTATGGTAGAAAGGATAATGACCCACAAAGATGTCCACATCACTACCTCTGGAATAGGGAATAGGTTAAACTACATGCAAAGAGGAATGGAGGGATTAAGGTTGCGTATTAGCTGCCCCAACCTTCAAATAGGGAGATTATCCTGGATCACCTGGGTGGGTGCAAAGTAAATACAAGGATCTGCAAATATGCAAGGGAGAGGCAGAAGAGCCAGGGGCTGTGGTTACAGAAGAAAGGCAGAGACAGATGGTGGTTTTGAAGAGGGAGGAAGAGGCCATGAGCCAAGGGAGGTGGGCGGGCACTACAGGCTGGAAAAGGCCAAAACACAGATGCTATCCCAAGCCTGCAGAAGGTAATGGGCTAACTGCCTGGATATTAGCCCATTTTAGGACTTCTGACCCATTGAACCGTGGGATAACAAATCTGTTTTGTTTAAAGCCACTGAGTTTGGGATAGTTCACTATAGCATCAAGAGGAAATTATCATAAGGGCCAAACAGCTTATTTGGATCTGCTCCCCAAGGTCACACACCTCCAAGACTTGGTGACCCCAAAGAAAAAAGAAGGGACAGACTCTTGAGCAAGCTTTCTGGTCTTACAGGGAGTCCTTTGCTCCTGACCTTCCTGAAGTGGAAGGAAGTCGCCTTCTGCTTTATTCAATTGGATGTGCCTTTTAAAGTACATATTATGGTGCCTGGGAACTCTCTGTGAGAATGAATGGGGCAGATGAATCTGACAAGCCATAAATTAGAAGATACGTCATATGCCGTCGTAGAACTCATTATTTGTAGGTATGTATGGGCGGGGAAGGGGGGAGGGGGAGGAAGGATAAGGAATCTGTCATAATAGCCCTGGCATGCAGTGACAGCAAAGATGCACCTGCTGTCTGAGAGCTTCACATCTACGCACTGCTGATCAGCTGGCTCCCCCTAACAGCCGTAGGGAGTATGTATTATTCCTGCCCCTATTTTACAGGTGAGACTTGGAGAAGGCCAGTGACATGTCTGAGGTCATGAAGACAGAAAGTGATGGAGCCAGAACTTGAACCCAGGCTGTCCAGCTTCATAGTCTGATCTTGACCATCTGTTAACAACTTATGCATGGCCCGAGGGACAGTAAATCTATTATAGATGATGACCATTTGCAAGCAGGCGATTGGGCTGCATCTTAATGTTTGAAATGTGCTTATCTCATAGTCCAGCAGTTCTACCTCTCAGTATGTGGTTTGATGAAACACTTACCAGCGTGTGCACAGAAACGCTATTCATGTTAGAGAAAAACATGGCTTATTTGGGTCTAATAGTATATAGCTAAGAGAATAAGAGCTAAATGTTGACTGAAAGCAGCATGTCTCAGATCAAAATGAGTTGACACCAATGGGTTTAAAACTCCCCCGACCCAATTATATGCACATACACGCAAATAAGATCTACGTATGTGTACGTGCATACATGTATAGACACAAATATAACACCCATACACACACAGATTACATATACATGAATAAATATCTCTGTGTAAATATGTGAGTAACTGATCTAGAAGGATTTGTACCAAACCATTAAAGGTAGTAGAAAAAAAAGATTTTAAATTTATCATTGAGTTTCAAGTTTTAAGTAGATTGCATTACTTGGATAAGTAAAATATAACTAACAATAATGTTGCCTGCTTCTTAGCCCCTTGAAGATGTGACTATTTCTATCTGCCTTCCCACCTACTCCCTGACTTTGGACATTCTGGGTTGTCCCCAACACCGGCTCCCGGCTCCCCCTTCTTTTGTCCCCACAGTCATCTGAGCCATATTGCATAATCTGCATGTACTCATTTTCAGGAATCAGAAAGTCATGTGGTCTTGGGGCTGGCTGGCTGGGCTGGAATTTTAGCTCCACAACCTCTCATGAGATGCTGAGTGAGTGACTGAATGACGTGGAAGCTGGGTGTCCTAGCTGTGCAGCAGGGGTAACAATGGCTACAGTGAGAAATCAAGGGACCTGGGTTGGCTAATGTTAATCTTCTGACTAACTGGTGACATGATCTAGATGCTTCTAGAAATAGACTTTCCCCTAGTTGTTTAACTTTAGTCACTGGGGCATCACACAGATTGAGTTGCTAAAAGTATTAGCATTTAGCCACAACAGAGGCAATGGGTTTATGTCACCTTTCTCTGTAGAGGGGCCCGCCCACCCGGGGCCCACCCACCCCTGCCTCTTGCTCTTTGCCTTCATTGGTTCTCAATGGCTACTATGTGGCAAAAAGGAAGGAAACCCACAATTTTGAGTACCTACTGTTTGCCAAATACAGGATTACATACTTTGTATGTATTAGCTCATTTAATCCTTGTAACAGCTCTATGGAACACAACTTTTTAAAAAATTTTGCAGATAAGAAATTGAAGGTCAGAGGCTAAGTCTATCATACCACATTCTGTCAGCCACCTGCCAGTATACATGATTAGTGGTCCTTGGGATGGGCAGGTATGCTGAGGTAACAAGAGGTATGTCTGTCCCACCAGAGCCCACAGCTGACGCAGTCATTGTGGATTAGAGGCATGGTAATCAGAGGCAAATCAACAGAGAGACTTTCTGAGGAATGCTGGCCTTTGTGTCTCCAAGTACTCTGAAACCAGAGGGAATGTTCATCATTTGGTTCAGAAATGAGTCATGGAACAAATTGGTAACATCTGAACCAGCAGGATGCTGGTGAGTTGTGACCAAGTTGGATGTTCAAGCACTGGGATCAAACGGGGACAGCTTTCTAGGAGGCAATCTGCTGGAGCTATAGGAACTGACCATGATTGCATTTTCTGTGTTTTCTGTTGTGGGGGCTTGGTGGGGAAGGAGATGATCTAGGTCCCCTACCTGACTCGTTCTTCTCGATGATGTCCACTACTTGCCCCACACTGAGGCTAATCTCCGAGCTCTCTTGCTTCTGGTAGTCTGCCACCACCACATACTGCTCCAGGACCATGGGGTCCACTGAGGTCAAGTCACCTCCTGTAGATACAAAACCCTATCAGTTGTCACATCTGGCCACCATCCATGCAGGATCCAGAAGCAGGACCCAGGGAAACAGACATTTCAGGGCAGGAGGACATTCCAAAAAGAAAAAGGAGTTGTTTAAGAATTGGTCTCAAGGGTGACACCATTGTTTCATTCATTTGCTCACTCAACTCTCAAAATTTACCAAGTGCCTAATCTGTATAGGCATTGTTCTGGGAACTAGGGGTTCAGTTATTAAGATATGATACTTGCCCTGAGGAAGCTGACAGTCTAGTAGAAAAATTCATTCATTCATTCCCATCCATCCATCCATCCATCCCTTCATCAACCATTATTCATCTACTTGTCATCTATTTGAACAAACATCCATCCATCCAGATTTTATCACCCATCACCCACCCAACTATATATACATCCATGATCATGATCCAGCAAAACAAACATCATCCATCATCCATCTAACCAAGCATCCACTCATCTACCCAACTAAACATCTATCCATCATCCAATCAATTAAACATCCACCTATTCACCATTCATTCAACCATCTATCCATTTGTCATCCACCCAACTCAATATCCATCCATCATCCATCCATCCATTCATCCTATTAATTCATGAAGTCACCAATGATGTTCCAGACACTATTAGGTGCTGGAGTACTAAAGTTAGTGAGACAGAAATATTTCTAGCCTCAAGTAACTCACTCTTGTTGGGGAGACAGACACATAAAGAAGTATATGTGTTCAATAACTATCAGATAATGTAAACATGGGTTATTGACAGATGCTGGAAACAGTCATAATGCTGGGCCAAGAAGGAATAGGAAAGGGGACATTACATTAAATGGGGTGGTCAGCCAGCCCTCCCGAAGGAAGTGACATAAAGCAGAGACCTGAGGGAAAAGGAATCACAAGGAGATAGGAAAGAGTGGTGCCTGCAGTCTCTGGGATGGGAAAGGGCTTGGAACCTTCTAGGAACCGGAAGGAGGCCAGGGTGGCTGCAGTCCAGTGAGTGAGGGCAGGGTCCTAACTGAGGTCACCCCAGGAGGTGAGGCAAAGCAAGATGTTTGGATTCTTTTAAAAATCCTGAAGTAGAAAGCCACTTAAGGGCTTAAAGAGAGAACAACAAGTTAAGATTCACATCTTTAAAAGAATTCTGACAGCATGCAGAGAGTGGATGAAAGGCAGGCAGGAACAAAAGCAGGAGGACAAATGTAGGTCACAGAGATGTTAGCCAAAAGATGATGGTGGCTGTGGACTGGGGCAGAGCAGCAGGGGGTAGGGGTTCTGGGAGAGGCTGTTCCACAGCTGGTGCTCTCTGCAATTGTGCAGCCCTGGTTAAGTACCAAGACCTAGCTGATAAAGAAATGACAAGCTGTTGCAGAATGAAGGTTATATAAGGGACATCTGAGTTCAGAGACTTGAAAGGGAAGGGGACAGCACTCCAGAGCAGCAGAATATATGTGGGGACCACAGGACGCTGATTTTCTTAATATTCTGATTTAAAGGATTCGCTCCTGTTTCCATCAACATCTGAAACAGTCAGGCAATCCCCATTTCTAAATACACCCGGTGGTAGAGTGGCATGCGAGAGCTGACTTATACTGAGTTGATTTTGTGCGTCTCTTGCCAACTCTATTGCCTGATTTGTACTTCCTAGCACACCGTGCTCTAGCCTCAGTCATGAGCAGCAGCACAAAGGCCCTTTGTTAGAACCATGCATGCTGACATTTGGTGAAAACCCCAACAGGGCACTGAAGCAAGGTGAAGGGTCACAGTTTCTTGGCTCTGTGGGCACATTCTGGTCATTCATGCTCTCAGTGACCTTGCCACTTGCACCATGGGTGGAGAAAGCAGGAGGAGAAAAGAGACACACACAGATAAATAGAGAGAGAGAGAGAGAAAGAGAAAGAGAGAGAAGGAGACAGAAGATGGAGGGTGTAGGTTCAGAAGGGAAGGGTTGGGAGGGAAGCAGCCCGGTGAATGCCTACACACAGTCTACACACCTTACACAAATGATGCCAACACAACCACCCTGGATAGTGGGTACTGAACCCCCATCTTACAGACAAAAAGACAGGCTCACAGATATCAAGTGACTTGTCTTGAATCCCACAGCTAGTTGGTGACACCTGGGCTAGGTGGCAGTGGTTGTTAAGAGAGTATGATAGAGAAGGAAGGATGGCTTGTGGCCTGCTTCTCCATCGGTCCCCATGGCCGCCCTGGGGACCATTAGGCAGACTCTTATGTCTTTGTGTCTATTCAAGGCTTGACTGTTGGCAAATGGAATTCCTATGTAATCTCCTCGGAGGTCAGGCTGCAGGGCTGGCCTCTTCCCAGCCTCAGGCACAAGAGCCCACCCAAGCCAGCTGTCTTTCAGTGGCCTGAGAGCAGACTGGTCTGCCTCCTCTCTGCTGCCCACATTAGAGCATGAAATTGTAGGGCAGCGTTTTGGCTGTCTCAACACACTGGAACTGTGCTCCTAAAAGGAACCATCACATGAGTGAGTAAATAATACAGATGCTGGATTCCTGGGGGCCTTTGGCTCCCTGTCCTGGTCATTTCTAGGTGGGGCTCCCCAGGGAATGCAGTCAGTAGAGATCTGAGTCTACAGTGTATGGCTGAGATATAGCCTACCTGGGGCTCACAACCTGAGGAACGGAGCTAATCCGTTTTGGCCCTATGTGGGCTTCCTCCAGGTAACTACTGTGCTTCCCTGTGCCTGAACTGGAGAAGGAGCTGGAGAGGAGGAAAAGCACCCTCTTCCCAGCCTGGCTAGAGGCTGTGCCTGGGCCCACATTCATGCTCAGAGACAAATACAGGTCTTCCAGGCAGGCAGTCAGTGGGCTGGTGGGGACACAGCGGAGGCTGTGTGCAGGTGTGGGGGCTCTCTGCTGTCACCTGCAGTGGTTGCAGGACTTTCTCACAGTACAGGTTTTGTGCAGGCAGACTTCTTCCCTAGCGCTCCATGACCCACTCATGCACAATCTCACTGAGTGACATCCTCTACACTAGAGTCTGAAGAGCTCTCTTGGATGCTGGGGAGCGAAGAGGGGATTCCCGTCACTGGTGTCTATCATGCTTGGAACTTCCAGTCTGTCCTCCATACTGCAGCCATGGTGCTTACACTCAAATGCTATTCTGATCACGCCACTCACTGCTCAGAGCCTGATATGGCCCCCCGGTGCTCACAGGTACCCCACAATCTGGACTCTGCTTGTCCTTCTGGCTTTGCCTTTTAACGACCTCAACCCTGGTTCACCCATAAAACTGGAACTTACAACTGATGGTGACACAGCTGTAACTGTATACAATTTTCAGGACTCTGATTAATGGAATGATCTATTCAATTCTACACCAACTCTCCTATCCAGACTGCCCGGGGATTTGGGTTAACTATGAACAGTGACAGAGTCAGGGCATCATGAACTCACTGTGAACAAGACAGGAGACCAGAAAATTGGGAGGGAGCAGGGTTTCAGACTCTGGGCTGGCATGCGTGGATCAGCTACTAGCACAGGGCTTAGGTATTGCCTTCAAGGCTTGTTCAGGGACCAGGTCCTAGTCTTACATCTCCTTGTTTTACTATGACAGTAGCTTTGAGACTGATGTTAGTGTCTGAAGAGAGTACTTTAAGTTGCTTTTCCAGCACCAGTTCTTCCAGAGCAGGTTGACTTCCGGAGGAGTCAACCTATCAAAACGTCATTTATTTGACCAACCAGAAGTCTCAAACTAGGCTTTAGGTCATTTAGGTGTTAGGTGGTGACACCTACTAGTGGACAGTGATATTGTGGCCAAGCTCTACAATGCACAGTAATTGCAGTGCCCAAAAGTTGCTGCAGGTGGCTAATTTTTAGGAGCTGCAATGTGCAATCAAAGAAATCCCAAGGAACATCCTTTGGGTGGGTTATTAGGAGATAAGAGAGAAGGAGGTCAGCAGAAGGGAGGAGACTGCGCAGTAGAAGGGTGTTTTTAACACTGAGGAAGTGTTGTAAAATAGTCTCAAGAGGAATAGTGTCTAATCTACCAATGAGTTTTCTATTTAGGTATGTTTTTATTCATAGTGACATGTTTTTAATTTTTAAAATGATAAGTGCTGTGGATATACTTAACTGTGCCCCCCTCAATTCATATGTTAAAACACCTCATGATATACTTGAGGATAGGGCCTCTGGGAGCTTATTAGGGTTAAATGAGGTCATGGGGGGGGCCACCATGAGGATTAGTGTCCTTAAATGAAGAGGCACTGAGAGCTTGCTTTCTCTACCATGTAAGTACACAATGAGAAGACAGCCATGTGCAAACCCGGAGGATCTAATTTCAGACTTCTAGCCTCCATACCTGTGAGCAAAAAAGTTTCTTCTGTTTAGCTCACTCAGTGTATAGTACTTTGTTATGGCAGCCTGAGAACACATGCAATGAGGAATAATGGTAAAGTGGATTTTTTTCTAAATGTTCACTATACTGCCAGTTTTGGTGAAAAAGCCAGTAAATAAAAGACTACTTTAATAAGGGTAGAAAAATCAAGAAGCAAGATGCTCCTTAGACAACTAGACAGCCTGTAAAATCTGAGTGGGAGGATTTTTCCTGCAAAAGAATTTGAGAATACATTAACCGAAGGCTGCAGGAGCCGGCCAGCCAGCCAACCCTGACAGGGAAAGACTGCCTTCTCCAATTGAGTTTTCTGGCCCAGAAATCCAGCGCTTGGGCAGTCAGCCATAACTCCATTTCAAGTTCAATCAAGAAGGTAGGTTATAACATAAAGGAAGTGTTCAAAGGTCAGATGAAAAATAAGGCTAATTCCAGCATGGGTTCCTAGACTGAATGAGAAAAGACGTTATTTCTACCCAACTGAACTAGAAATAAATCTGTCCCCCATCATTGCAAGTGAATGATGTCACACTGGTCACCACAAAATTAGAGCTCTTCTGTCTTTTCCAGACCTGTCCCCTCATGAAGCCTGTTCTGACCGGACACTTCTGTTTTCACAAACCAGAGCTGTCTCTTTCCTCTCTCCTTCCCACCCACTCTCTCCAGGAAAGTCTCTGCACATGCAGAGCCAGAAATGCTATGACCAGCTGCTCCTCCTCTCCTTTCTGCTCTTTTCTAAGAAACATACTATTATCTTCAGGACTCAAAGACTATTTGCAGTTTTTGCAGGATACCACAGGTTGGCCAGTACCAATTTAACCAGAAAGCAGACTGGTCAGGAAGAGGCCAGAGTTCATTCCAGACGCCACACCCAGAGGCACAGAAATCCAGTTCATCTCCACAATTCTTTGCAAAAATGGCCTTGGAGTCTATAAAGCTGACCATAGGCCTTGTACCCAGGGACCCAAAGATGTTGAATTTGGATTTTATTCTGACGCCTTAAAGGGAAACTGTAGCAAACATATATCACTTATAACATGCCAGGCACTGGTCTAGGTGTTCTATACATATTACTATAAATCCTCTAATAATCCTACAGGGTAGATCACTAATCCCATTTCAAAGATGAAACTGAAAACATCTTCTTTTCCATACTTATCAACCCCCTCAAAATTCCTAGAGACCTAAATAAATAACTCAGAATTCTGGAAGGGTTGAAGACCACACTAGCTCCAGGTATGGCTCTGGTTTTTGCAAATGTGGGACATGATCTTGGGTCACAGGAAGAAGAGTTGGGCTGTTGTGAATGTAAATTTATCACCCCCTGGCCTGTGAGAAAGCAATCGATCCTCTCTGTACACCCAATTTCCCACCAACTCTTTTTCAATGAATGCTCTTGATAGGATAGTTGTGCCATCCAGGGAATGAAAGGCATTATGAAGGAGGAGAGTTGACTTTGAGGAGAGTGGAAGTGAGCATAGGAACTGTTTGAAATAGCAGTTGCCACTGTCCAGAAGAGTAGCTGGCAGACGAAGTACAGAGGCTGGGCATGGGGTTCAGGATGTCAGTGGGATGAAACTTAAATCTGGGCACTGTCCTCTGTCCCAGCATGCCCTTCACTGTGTGGAAGTACTGACTCCTCTTCAAGATCCTGGGTCTTCCTTTTTTACCCCTTTACAATACCCAAAAGGAATGCTCAGAGTTCCACATTCCTTTATCTAAAGTAGAACAAAGCATTAACATACTACAGCATAGTCAGAAGTCTGTCTGTTTCCCATTCCCCACTGAGGCAATCGGGAAAGATAGGATGATTCATCCACTTTGTAATTTCTAGGTATAGGATGAAACAATCTCTAATCCAATCAACAGGGTGGGGTATCAGTCAATTAACCATGCATGCAGGCATCCACCCATCCAACCACCCACCCACCCTCCCACCCAGCCTATACACCTTCCCTCCCCCCCATCCCTCTACCCATCTATCCATCCCATTCCCAATGTAGTGTCCAAGGCCTAGAGCATCATAGGTGCTCAGCAAGGATATGTTTAACATTGAACAAATAGTAGAAAATGAAAAATATTCTTACCAGATTTCTTTTTCCCAACATGGTCCCTGTATAAGAAAGAAAGGGGTTGGGGGAAGAGTAAAAAGTGAGTACATTTAGTGTATTGGCATGAGCTATTCCATTAGGAATTCTGAGTTTCTCCATCCCATAACATCTCTGTCAATCAATAAAATATAAGCCAGCCCCAGAGACCCAGACTCTTTAAAAAAGAATTCCTTTTATTTTTCTGTTTGCCTGATAAGTGTCCTGGTGCCCTGGGTACCAGCATCTCTACTCTGTTTGTAAAGCAAGGGACCCTGTGTTGGAGTCGCCAGGTGGGGGGTACATAGTTTGAAAATAGGGCTAGGCCTCCACATTGCACTGAGCCTGATGCCCACCTGGCCAGGCACAGCAGAGTTCCTTCTTAAAGCTCCCAGATCTTTAGACATGGAGCAGAAAGGGTTTTGTGGTACGCAGAACACACTCAACTTGAGTAGAAATGTGAATAGCAGTGAACACAGCACATGTCCCCATGGTGACATGGGGAACATGGCTATAGGCTAGAATTCATATGGAATAATGAGTAACGATTCCTTTACATCTGTCAACCACATCAGGGTTTATATATACAACTGCACTGCAAATAAAATACTATAAATCAGTGTCTACAAAAGACTTTCCAGTAAGTTACAAGGTTTCCGTATTATAAAGGGAAAAGGGTGACAACAGGATGGTTGGTTGAAACGTTTGCTATAATTACTGAACATGCCAGAACCTGCTAGGTACTTTTAGCTCACTCGTTGAATATGCATACTAACTTTAGGAAAGAAGTATTCTTTTTTTGCCCATTTTACAAATGAAGAAAATGAGGCACAGAGAGGTTAAGTTACTTGTCCCAAGTCACACAGTTAGCAAGTGCTACAGGCAGGATCTGAACCCAGTTCTAGCTAATTTTTAAAAATTGAGATGCAATTTACATACCATAAAATTCATCCTTGTAAAAGTGTACAGTTCACTTTTTAGTACAGTCACAAGGTTGTATACCCATCACTACTATCTAATTCCGGAAAATTTTTATCACTCTAAAAAGAAACCCTATAGCCAACAGCAGTCACTTTTCATTACCAGCCCCTGGCAACCACTGATTGGCTTGCTGTCTCTTGTTATTTATCTACTGCGGACACTATATGAATAGAGTCATAGAACAGGTGGCATCTTCTGCCTGGCTTCTTTTATATAATATCATGTTTTCAAGGTTCATCCATATTGTAGTATGTATTGTAGTAAGTATAGTGTTACTTTTGTAGTAAGTATAGCATTACTTTTCATGGCTGTATAATATCTCATTGTGTGGGTAAAGTACACTTTGACTATGTTCATCAGCTAATGGGCATCTGGGTTATTTCCACTCTAAGGCTATTATGAATATTGCTTCTATAAAAACATTTGTGCACATGTTTTTGTGAGGATACGTATTTTTCTTTTCTTGGTTACATATTTTTCTTTTCTTGGTTACATACAAAGGAATGGAATTACTGGGTGATATGGTAACTCTAGGTTTAAGTTTTTGAGAAATTGCCAAGCTGTCTTCCAGCAGCTGCGCACTTTTACATTCCCACTAGCAACATATGAAGGTTCCACTTTCTCCACATTCTTGCCAACACTTGTTGCTATCTGTCTTTTTGATTCTAGCCATCCTTGTGGGTGTGAAGTGGTATCTCACTGTGGTTTGGATTTGTATTTCCTGGTAGCCAATGATGCTGAACATCTCCATATGGATACTGGCCATCTGTGTCTCTTCTTCAGAGAAATATCAATTCCATGTCTGATCTTAAGTCTAGGTTTTTAACCACCACGTAATAGAGTTTTCAGTGTAGCCTCAGGAAAGGGGCGGGGGTTGACCTGGGAGGAGCTTGGGCTACTTTCCCATGTGTCTGGGAAGAGCAGCAGGGCCTGGCCAAGCGACTGGCTAGGACAGTGGGTCCCAGGCCTGGTGCTACCCAGTGAGGTTAAACTTTATCATCCCCTTCAGGGGAGCACGAGGATAACAGCACAATATCTGAGCTCACATATCCTGGTACGTGCTGTGTGCAGTGGTCAGAGAACCGTTCCTGGGCCAACCCACTGAATGCTCTCACCCAACTGTTCAGGGTTGTTTCACAGATGGAGACAAGGAGGACCAGAGAGGGGAAGCGCCTCACCCAAGACTGGAGCCCAGGGAGACTGGCAGACTTTTCTTGGACAGCCCAGAAGGTCAAGTCCCCCCTTAGTTGCCAGCTATAAGACATACCAAAAGGCTTCCAAGGCTGCTTCCATGCAAAGCACCTTCTCCCCCAGGGGCCATCCAACCCTGCAACCTGAGGCATCTCTGGGTAACTTGAAGCCCAGTCTGCTGCCCTGCCACTTGACCAGTGTCCCAACCCAGTAGGGGGTTGGGGCAGTAGGGGTGATTGGGAGGTAGCAGAAGTAGCTGGTGTGGGCTCAGCAGGTATGTTATTTCCTTTGTGTGACCAGTATGGGGTAGTGCACAGTTTTCTTAAGCATGGCAGCAAAAGCTTCCTCTAAAAACTCCTGGGAAAGACCCCTGACTTGGGATTAGTTTTGCTAGGGGGAAAAGGATGTCCTAAAGCTAATTCCATACAGGCTTTGTGGACTCTACCCCCACCCCAGGCCAAAGCCAAAGACACTGGGAACTCCAAATCCCATCACCACCAAAGGGAAGGTGGCTGGGACCTGAGGGTGGGGTTAAGCAGCCAGGCTGGTATAAAGCCAGACACGTGGGTTTTGGAGGGGATCCCCCCATTTTTGGCTCTCCGCCAGCTAGAAGTGTCCAGTCAGCTCTGAGAGTGACTTTGGGTTTCCAGGTCGGTGGATCGGGTAGGACACATTAAAGACTTTATTTCCCTATTTTCTCCCTGAGTTGTACATTTTCCTTATTTCCTTTTCCCTTGTAAATAAACCTTTTATTAACCTTTTGTGTATGCCTGTAATGGAGTATTAATAAGTCCCTTTTAAGCGCGCGGGTGAGGACCCACAGCCAGGCAATCCGTTCAATATCGGGGCTGCCCTATAACAGTTTGAGGATTCTGATCTGGAAACACTTCCCCTCACTGTGCATCACTCACAAAACCAAGAACTAGTGTGCAGCATAGACTTCCTGTTACGGTTCCAGAGCCACTCCTCTGGCCCTCAGCAACATCTCTCCTTCCTTCCCTCTTCCCCTTCCAAGTCTGGTTTAAAGACCTGAAGGCATCACTAGGACCTGTCTAGTACCAGACACTATCCTTCATGGGCAGGATGGTTGGTCTGTGTGAGTAGTAAGTCTCTGAAAGGACTGGGGACCACAAGAAGGTATACACTCTCATGGGAAGAGCAGTTTTCCCTCTCAGGCCTTCCAGATGGTTCTGCTTCCCCTGAGTCTCCCAGCAAAAACAGCAACCAAGATGTCAGCAAGGTTAGCCCTGTCCATTTCTACTGATGAGGAAATAGGAGCTCAGAGAAGTCAAGTCACTTGTCCAAGGATACACAGCAGGGAAGAGACAGAGATCAGAAACTTTTTTTTTTCCTTCCAAGAAGCCTCTGAGAACCAGATACAAATACTGCAGCAGGATGCTGGTTAGCTTATCCCAGCTGTTATTTTGTGCTTTCTTTGGTACAGTCTAGGCTGTTAGTATTTCCAGTAGATGTTCTAATTGTGTGTCTGTCTCCACAAGTTTTCACAGCTTGAGGGCTGAGGGTAGGAGCTATTTTCCCCTTGTATTCTTCCTGAAGAAGAATGGCAAGTGCTCATTAACACGATAGGGAGTGGTCTTTTTTGTTTTGCTTTTTAAATGAATGGAGCAATTAGATTTCTTCTAGCTGTAGAAAGGTTCTTAAACATTTTTGAGATTCTTACCACATGCCATACAGGGAAATAAATTCTAACTAATTTAACGAGAAAAGGTTAGAAGAAAACCCAAACTATAAATCATCTAGAAAAAAATTATGGTGGATTTCTTCTATTCAATGTTGCCTGCCCCTTAAAGCCTGCAAGTAATGGGAGCAGTCAGCAGAAAAATAGTCACCAGGGCCTTCCCTGGTGGCACAGTGGTTGAGCGCTGGGCTGTGAGGCTGCCCACAGCCTCTGCAGTGCCGGTTCGTTCCCCGGCCGCCGGCGAGGGTCCCACAAAAAAAAAAAAAAAAAAGAAGAAAAGAAAGAAAGAAAAATGGTCACCAGATTTGACTTCACAAAAACCTATAATGTGCATACATCATCAAAATCACAAAGAAAATATAACGCACAATAAATGGGGCAAATATTTACAAGGATGGTGAAGACTAATATTAATATATGAAGAGCTTATAAAAATCAATAATCGAAACAGCAAAACCAACAGGAAAATGAACAAAGAAGATTTTCCTTTTCAACTTTGATTATTATAGAATCCAGAGCCTCTGACTCTGTAATTCCAATGCCAACCTGGCTTGAAGTATTTTCTGGCTGAAGAAATTCCCACCAGCCCTCCAGCCACCTAAAGGCAGGATTTGGGTGTGTTTTTCTTACTTTCAGTGTGTGTGGTGGTTGTGGAAAATGTTTGGGGAATGGGGCCTCCCTGGTTGTGCAAGGGGTTAAGATGCAACCTATGAAGCTATCCGCAGCCACTGCAGCATGAGTTCGATCCCCCAGCTGACCAGGGAGCAACCCAGATGGCGCAGCACACCTCTCCTGACTTCCCTGCTGCTCCTCTCAGCAGTGTGTTTCAGTCAATCTGCCTGTTCTGTTCCTCACTCTGTCTCTGGTGAATCCTCTCACCATCCACACCTCTGGCCTGTACCCCAGTACTTGTCTGCATGAATAAAAAAATCTTAAAAAAAGAAAATGTTTGGGGAATGAAGGCATTTGAATGAGGTGCCCGTGTCTTGCCGTTTTTGCTGGGAGACTCAGGGGAAGCAGAGCCATCTGGAAGGCCTGAGAGGGAAGACTGCTCTTCCCACGAGAATGTGTATCTCCTTGTGGTCCCCAGTCCTTTCAGAGACTTACTACTCACACAGACCAATTAACGTCTCTGTTATTATCTCACAAGAGAGAGCGAAATTCAAGCATCTTGGCCCTAAAATGCTACAGAGCTACAGAGCTGTGAAAACGGACTCTTCCTACTATGTGCTCGGCACTTCACACACATTGTATACCCAAGCCTCCCATCACTCGCAAAGTAGGTATTATTATTATTATTCCCATTTAAGAAGTCAGTGTAGGACTAGCCTCCCTAAAATGTTCAGAGGCTTTTTCCTAGAAGTGTCACCTTGATATATGGAGCTAAGGTCAAAAGAGGCCTATGGCAGAAACTACTACCAATAAATAATGTAGATCACTTACATTTAGGGGCATCTCCAGAAAACCTGTGTCAGAGAAAACTTTCTTACGGCAGGGAAAACTCCAGAAGCAAGGTCTGGTCCCATGAAGTTTATTTCCCTCCTTGACATGTGAGATCTGCTCCCCCTCTCCTTGATGCCCCAGGCCATTTAGCACAGAATATAAACCCTATTTACTCTAGAACACACAGCCATATATATAAAGCTTCTATACACGTTATTAAACTTTTCTCCTACTAATCTGTTGTTAATTTGTCCAGTCTCAGAAGAGCCCCCTGGTGGGTGGGGGATTTCCCCCTCCACGATGACCTAATGGAATGGACTCCCCTTAAAAGTATCAGAGCAAAATTCTAACTACAGGAAACTGGGGAAAGGTTTACCCTTTGAATTATTACATTATTAATTAATACCCACAGGTCACCATGACTTCAGAGCCCCAAACTCAAAAAATTCATTGTTGACCAAGCCTTCATTTTCCTAATCCCTATTACATTTCAGCCTCTTAATAAACCTGTAATATAAGCAACTGAGGCAGAAAAGGGGGAGGGGTGATCTATTTGCCCAGGTAGAACAGCTGGCTGCCTGGCTGGCAGATGGTCTCTGTCATATTGGCCCTATCCACACACCCCTCCCAGACCCTGCATCTGCCCTCTTGTGCCTAGGACTCTGGCCGGCCCTCAATACCCATAAGCTGATAAAAGAATGCCAGCACCCATAGCTGAGAATAGCATGGGTCTAGAATGTCCTTTCTAGCAAATGGGGAAAAGTGCTGCCTCGACTACCAGAGAGTGACAACACCCCCATGTCCCAGCTCCCCTACAGCTCTGACTCTGCCCTGTACCCTATCCTGTGTCCTTCCTTCGTGAGCAAAGGTACCCAGACTCTTCTCAAGCACAGCAGGTTGCCCCTGGGCTGGCTTTCTCCTGTTTGTGTCCAAAAATTGGTCAGATGCCTGTTCAGAGGCTGGGGATCCACTTCTCCCAACCTCTCTAGGCGGGAGGCCAAGGACATCCTAGAATTAACATTCAGAAGTGGCACCAGGGCAGTGGTTCTTAACCAAAATGTGGGCTTTGGCATAATCAAGGGGCCTCCTAAAACTGAGAGAAACCACCTTTGGGGTGAAAGAAGAAAGCTTTTACTGGATTCTCCATGTGGTCTGTGATCTCCCCAAAAGTTAAATTTTCTGGAACTCTGAGATGAAGTAGGAGAGAACCTAGATGTTGCTGAATCCTGCAACCCAAGGAACCCACATCCGGTCAATTTTCACCCTCAGGGGGCTGGTGTTCCTCCTTCTTGTTGCCCACAGGCACCAAGCCAGGTGTGTAGCACACCTGCCAAAAGCTTCCCAGCAGGTTCCCAAGCAACACTACAAGAGGTCTTGCAGTCCATCTCACAAAAAAGGAAAGTGAAGCACAGGGCTGGGAAGCAATCTGCCAAGCTCACCAGTCTGAAAGTGGTCAAGCAATTCTCCCTGTTGAGGGTCCATCAGCTGGACATCCTGATCAACTCCTGGAGTAAAAGCAGCTGTGGTTGGGTGTTCAGAGAAAAGATGTCATGGGCCACCACTTTTTGAGCACTTGGAAAGTCAGTGAAATTTTTACTTAACAGTCATTCAATTTCCACTGTATACCTAAGGTGGGCTGCTATTTCCATTTTGCAAGGGAGGCCCAGGGTTATGTACCTCAAGTCAGGTGGAGGTGGGATTTGAACTCGGGTGTCACCCACTGCAAATCCAGGCTCTTTCTCTTAAGCCTGGTGGCCCCTGGCATGGGAAGTGCATGTGCGCACACGCACATATACGTCGTGTACACACACATGCGCACATACACACACAAAGGCTGCACTGGGCTTAGGTTAAGATTCATGCAGAGCTGGGAAAAATTCACTTCCAACTCTTTCCAACTGTGTGAACTTGGGCAAGTGTCTTTTGTCATTCTGAGCCTCAGCTTTCTCATCCGTAAAATGGGAATAACAGCTCCTACGGTAGTTTGCTGAGAATGAGGTGGAAACTGAACACTTTAAGCTCCATTGTCTCGGATTCATCTCACTATAGAAATTAGAACTGAGGCTAGAGGTTGGCAACTTAACTGTGAAACCCTGGGAGGACTGCAGACAAAGTTTTGAGACTCTTTCACCATATCTTGTTATTTCAATAAAAATTATGCAAGGGGGGGCCTCCCCTGGTGGCGCAGGTGGTTGAGGACCACGCTGTGAAACTGTCCACAGCCTCTGCAGCGACAGTTTGATCCCGGCCAGCCGGTGACGGTCCCACATGGCGCAGCAGACCTCTCCTATCGCTTCTGCTGCTCCCCTCAGCAGTATATTTCGTCAGTCTGCCTGTTCTGTTCCCCGCTCTGTCTCTGGTGAATCCTCTCACCCTACCACGGATCTGGCCTGTACCCTGGTTCTTGTATAAATAAATAAATCATTAAAAAAAATTGTGCAAGGGGGTCTCCCGGCGGTGCAAGGGGTTAAGTCTCAGCACTGAAGCTATTAGCAGCCACTGCAGCGCAAGTTTGATCCCCAGGCAGGGAGCTGACCCACATGGCACAACAGACCTCTCCTGTCTCATTTGCTGCTCCCCTCAGCAGTGTATTTCAGTCAGTCTGCCTGTTCTGCTCCCCACTGTCTCTGGTGAATCCTCTCACCTCTCTGGTACCGCTGGCCGACACACCAGCTCTTGTATGCATAAATAAATAAAATAAATCTTAAAAAAAAATTGTGCAAGGTTTACCAGACACAAATGCTAAAGGCACCAAGAGCAGAAACTGCCAGGATAGGCTGAAGGTTCATTATCAGACTTACATTAACTCTGTATCATTAAAAAAAAAATGCATGTGTTATTAAGACATTTCCATTGAAAGGTTCACTGTGGCCACTTATGAAGTGTTCCGCTTGCTTAATTTCAAAGCCTATGTGCTAGCTCTCATCAGCTGCATTCGCTCACTGTTCTTATCCTAAGAACTGGTATTTACTGGAATGTTTATTGCAGGGAGTTAAGTTTACTCATCTGTGTGGCCATTAAACCACTAGTCCTGAGTGATCAACTCACTGTCTTTGACTTCTGAACTTGGTTCTGCAGTTGGGCATATAAATATAAATGGGCCTGACTTCACTGTTAAAACTCTCTGCTGCTTTGTCTTTACAGGTCGATTTAAAAAATAAGCTTCATGGTTTCAACAGATTTATTTCCGAAAAGCCATGTTGCTCTTTCAACTTGACATACGCATAGCACTTAGCACATGGCAATGTTGACAAACACAAGCCTGGCTCATTACTGCTGTTGGAGCAAGAAATGCAGCTCAGAGCTGAGGGGTCATTCACACAGTCCACTGCAGGGAGAAGCTGGGGAGGCAGAGACTGCAGTGACATGGACTGCTCTGGTGCCTGGCTGATCACAGGTGCAAATCCTGGCCTCCCACTCGCTAGTGATGGGCACTTGAGCAGGTAGATCTCAGTCACTCACTCATTCATTCACATCCCAAATAGCCCTGAGTGCTTCTACATCCAAATCTATCTCAGTCCCTGTCTGGTGTGCTCATGGTCACTTCAGTTCCAGTGCTCTCTGATGAATGCTGTGGGCACACCTGGGGTGTTAGGGGACTACAGGAGGAAAGCTCAGCCAGCTCCTTCATCTGAAAGCACCACGGTCACTGCCCACTCTCAGCAACTCTGCAAGCATGTGAAGCCGGCTTGCAGGGGCTCAGCATTAGGACCCAGTTTAACTTGTGCTTGGCTTTCCTGCAGATGCTGTTGGGGCTGGCTGACCCAGCGGGAGGGAGGGCTGTGAGGGCATGCTCTGGGAAGGGCCACAAACCAACTTACTCTTTGGGGGGATTCAGGTCCTCAGGTCTGGTCTCAAAGAACTGCAGCACCTCATCACACTGAGAGATATAGGGCGGCAGCTGGATCAGGGCCTGGGAGAGACAGACACAAGTGAGCCAGAGGAAGGAAAGGAGCACCAGGGCTTCTCAAACTTGGGTCGGCATCAGTCACCTGGGGGACTTGTGAAAACGCAGGGTGTTGGCCTCCGAGTATGTCCTAACTCATGGATCTGAAATGTTGAAGGGACTTTTTTATGATCTGGGTAGAGGCTATAATACCCTGGGATCTCCCCACCCAATTCCAGGTTAATCTGCCACCCAGCTCATCAGCAGAGCTTCAACTGTCTGTGCCAATGGGCTGAGTAAGGAGGTGGGAAGAGGGCAGAGTGGCACTGGTATTTGTGGTGCTGCCTTATCTACCCACAGATTCATCCAGTGATCCAATGGACATTTTCTTTGTGCCCAGCCTTGTACTGTGCCAAATGAGAGAGAGGTATAGGGTGATCCTGTTCATGCCAGTGTCTGAAACCAAGACAAGGCTCTGTAATGAATGCACAGCTAAGCTTAACAATACTTACACCCCGCTAGGGCCCAGACAGATACAGATGTGACTGCAACAGATTTCATGCACATATTTTATTAAGCCTGTGCTGTGCTGGGGTGTACAGGGCACTGCCTTTCTTTCCACCCTCGTGTGCCCTGAAAGGGGATGGACTCTGCTCCTCTGCCCAGGCCTCAGTGCCCCAGTGTGTCTCATGCTTTTTTGTCACACAGTGTGACTCTAGGTGGGAAAGACATGTCTTGTATTTTCCTACAAAATGTCTAAAAGTTTATCCCTTCTAAGTAATGTTCTATCCCTAATTCTGGGCTGTGAGGGATTAATGGGGAGATGAATGGGGGTCTTCAAAATGGTATCTTCTACAGGGTTTTCAGGGTATTTTAATCTTAGTGATTTATTTTTCAAAAGATTTAATTAATTGTGGTAAAAGACATAAAATTTGCCATCTTAACCATTGTTAAGTGTACATTTCAGTGGTTTTAAGCACATTCACATTGTTGTGTTACCGTCCTGACCATATATCTTCAGAACTCTTTTAATCTTGTAAAACTCTTTTAATCCTGTACCATTAAATAACAACTCCCTATCTCCCCAGCCCCTGGCAACTACTATTCTACTTTCTGTCTTTAGAAATTTGACTGCTCTAGGTACCTCATGTAACTGGCATCATATAGTGTTTGTTATTTTGTAACTATCTGATTTCATACTTATTATAATGTCCTCAAGGTTCATCCAGGTGGTAGCACATGTTGAAAATTCCCCTCCTTTTCATGGCTGAATAATATTCCATTGTATATACAAAACATTTTGTTTATCCATGTATCTATCAATGGACATTTGGGTTGCTGACCCTATGTAACCTTTGAGTTAGGATGTGACTTTAAGACAAAGCCTTCAGATATAAGCTACTCTAGACCTAAGGTGGAAACACGTGGGATGGATTAATCTGTTTTAGTAGGGTGACTTATCTGGTCACTGTCTAGTCTCTATTCTTTTGCAGGAAAGAATGCTTTAAAAGGGCTTGGCATTTGTGGTTCATTGATTTTTTTTTTTAACTAGCCTTGAAGTATTTCCTTCACTGCAGCAAATCCACAGGGGCTGACCTTTTTCTAGGTCAGGGACTGAGAGCCTGAGGGGAGAGAACAGGAACTTCCCAACTCCCATTCTGACCCCCTTTTCCTTCTGGTTTGGAGCAGCAAGCATTCATTCTTCTGTCCTGGGGCTCCCTGTGGGTCTCTGTTTCCTCTGAAATCCTGCAGCTCTTGCAGTTGGAACCACATAATGAAGAGCTGATTATATGCTGGACTGTGGTGTGTCCTGGCTGCTTCGTGTGCAGATATCTTGTGGCTGGCCCCAGACTGTAATAACAACATTCCCTATGTTGGCTCAGTGCTCAATGGCTCGCAAAATGCATCTGTCTGTGTCACATCATGTAATAATCCTGGGAGGCCTGGCCCATTTTAGAGATGGGGCAACAGAGGCTCTGCTGATTTGAGATCTAGCTCCTTTACCCCAAATCCAGAGAGCAGTGCAGGGGTATGGGCTGTTCCGACCCCACCTTCCTGTGTGTCTAGACAGTGTGGGGAAGATCTTGGTACCTGGTTGGAAGTATTCACTGGATAAATAACATGAGGAAGAGGCCTGAAGATGATCATGCGGCCCTGTTTGGGGAGAGCTGGGTGGGCCTTGAGTGGCCACATTCTCTGCCTGGAAGGGGTCTCCCAAGGTTGCTCCTTGCTGAAATGGGCAGACACCAAATGGACCAGTGAAGAAAGGACAAGGATACCTCCCGACAATGCCAAGTTCACTTTTGGTTTTGAACAATTCCTAGGCAGTAAAAGCCAAACCAAACCCCCAAACCATAAAATAAAGCTAAGTTACTAATAAAAGGGGACAGTGAATGCTTTGATACTTGCGCTTGCATTTTGAAAGGACAGGCTAACAGTAAAAAACAAAAACAAACAAACAAAAAAACCCACCACTATCAACAAAAACGACCTGGGGCTGAGAAATGATTTGGCTTCTGAAATACTCCAGGATTGTGTTTGGTCAATAATGACAAAGAACCACAGTTCCAGGAAAACTCTGTTCCAGAAGGAATCCTGGCCCTTTGGACAGATGTGGGTGGTCTACCGAGGGCTGAAGAGAGAACAGAGTGGGTTCAGCTTGCTGAGGATAATGAGGAAAGTTCAGACATTTCCAACTCTCAGTTCTGCTTGGTTACTTCCTACTCATGTGATTCTGGCCAAATGCCATCCTCTCTCTGAATCTCAGTTTGCTGAGCTGTAAAATGGACATACCATCTCTCTTGGAGGGTTGTGCTGTAGAGCAAGTGAGGAAGAAGCGGTAAGGTTTCCATTGTATATTCGGTGCTTGAAAGACGTTAAGTGCACCCTTCACCTCTCTGTCCTGCACCAAGCACAACAGCATGATGGCGACCTTAGAGTCAGCAGATGATCATGTCAAACAACCACGCCTCGGTGAGGGGGAAAGAGTGTGTTCCCTCAGTTCTCTTGCAATTCTCTTTGGCTTCAAAAAGAATACCCCAGAGAGTGAACAATTCCCTCAACTTTTTTTACATTTCATTTTATTGTGGTAAGAACACTTAACAGCAATTCTCTGGAGCTTATTCTTCCTGTTTAACCAAAACTTTGTGCCTGTTGATTAGCAACCCCTTATTTCCCGTCCTCCTGACAACTACTGTTTCACTCTTTGATGCCAGAATTTGGTGGTGGCTTTCCATACCTTACATAAGTGGAATCAGGCACTATTTCTTTTCCTGTGACTGGCTTATTTCACTTAGTATAATATCCTCAAGGTTCACCTGTGCTGTTTCTTACAACAAAACTTCCTTCTTTTATAAGGCTGAATAATATTCCATTGTGGGTACACAGTTGTCACTTAATGGCTTTTTTTGGTCAATGGTGGTTCCAACAGGCTAGATCCCATGGCCTTGGGGTGCAGCAGGCCAGGTCACCTAGGTTTGTGCAATTACACTCTGTGATGTTGGCAGGATGACGAAATCACCCAACGACATGCTGTGCACCACAGTGAGGCTGTTTCCACATCTTAGCTATGAACCTGGCAGTGCTACTATTGCTTCAATGTCCTGATTTCATTTCTTTTGGATAAATACCAGATGTTGAATTTCTGGATCGTATGGTAGTTCTATTTTTAATTTTTTGCGGAGCCTTCATGCTATTTTCCATAGCAGCTGCACCATTTTGCATTTCCATCAACAATGTGCATGGGTTCATGTCTCTGTAACCGCAACCACACGTGGAATTTTTTTTTTTTATAACAGCCATCCACACAGGTGTGAGGTTATATCTCATTGAGGTTTCAATTTGTATTTCACCGATGACTAGTGACACTGAACATTTTTATGTTCAGGTATACATATCTGTTGGTTGTGTAACTTCTTTAGGGAAATGATATTCAACTCTTTAGTCCACTTTTAAATTGAGTTATTAGTTTGGGGCTGTTGAGATGTAGGAATTCCTTATCTATTTTACAGAGTTTAACCCCTCATCAGATACTTGGTTTGAAATATTTTTCTCCCATTTCTGTAGACTGCTTTTTCATCCTCTTGATTTTTCCCTTTGCTATGCAAAGCTTTTTCAGTCTGATGTAGCCCCACTTGTTTATTTTTATTTTTGTTGCCTGTGTTTTTGGTATTATATTCATGAAACCACTGCCAAGAGTCCTGAAACTCATGTATATGGTCAGCTGATCTTCAACAAAGGTGCCAAGAATACGCAATGGGGAAAGGACTGTCTCTTCTACAAACAATGCTGGGAAAAATTGGATATTCACATGCAAAGCAGCGAGACTGGGTTCTTATCTTGTACCATAAACAAAAATCAACTCAAAATACATTAAAGTTTTTTTTTTTAAGATTTATTTATTTTTATACAAGAGCTGGGGTTCACCAGAGACAGAGTGGGGAACAGAACAGGCAGACGGACTGAAGTACACTGCTGAGGGGAGCAGCGGGCGAGACAGGAGGTCTGTCCCACCATGTGGGTTTCTCCCTGGCCAGCCGGGAATTGAACTCATGATGCAGTGGCTGTGGATTGCTTCATAGGTTGTGTCTTAACCCCTGCACCACCAGGGAGGCCTACATTAAAGATTTAAACCTGAAACTAAAGAGCTAGAAGAAAATACTTCTCTAAATTGCTTCCTGAGAGCAGGACCAGGCTCTGCAGACCTCAGGTAGGCAGGCCATAGCAGAGGCAAGATTTAAAATCCTGTTTTGTTGTCATTGCTTCAATTTTTACTTTGATGTCATGTGAAGCCAGGTTTATATCATGGTTATGATCTAAAATTTCTTATGAAATGTATCTTTTTAATAAGTGAGTTAATTTAGGGAAAAAAATAATACAGATTATATAGTAAAAATCTTGAAGGGACCTTGGTCTCAAGTGACTGGAGTCTGGCAAACACTCCTATTATATTAAAATATTATATGTGGTGTATGTGTATGTGTGTGTTACACATGCAAACATGCTAAATTTAAGCTATACCCTAATGA